TGTCGGTGCGGTGGTTACGTCGCGATGAGCGGAGCTGTGGACCATGACCGCTGATCGCCGACGGCGAGAGGCGTGGCCGACGTCCGCCGCGAGTGACGCGCAGCGGGAAGAAGAAATTTGGCGCGAAACCCGCCACAATACCAATGATTGTTAACAATTATACGAATATTGTACTTGATGATAACATTAATAAATTCGAAATCTAAAAACATAACATCCGTATTCCGTATATATATTTATTATTAATACATAAAACGTATTATTACAATATCAGTAACACTCAAATGAAAAGGGTATAAGTACAACAATGATGTGCATGAGTATAATAAAAAAATTTGCATTATGTCATTAGTAACGAATATTTTGAAACTAAAGATAAAAAGTAATTAATTAGTTTAAAATATTAAAGTATTATAAAATATAGTAATAATATTATAGTATTTATATAAAGTATTAATATAGGATATTTGATTCAATAAAATAAAAACAGTATAATATTATTCACTCACAATCGTTTCCTGAATTCCATATATTTTATCATAGCTATTTCGAACCAATAACAGTTGTACCTGATAATAACATTTTACCATTTCTTTTTTATTATTGTTTTCCTGTAGATAAATGTAACCACAAGGTCAAAAGTTAAATATATCAATTATGCGGTATCATTTGGTTATTGTGGTAACATGTGTTAAATTAACGATGTACTACTTGGTATACCTGAATATAACCACATGGGTCAGCCAATCAGTGAAAATTATTTTATACAACACGACACGACACGGTATAATGTGAAACCGCCTTTAAAGTGATGCATCATGCGTAGTGCGTTGTGCTAATAGATAAAGAATTAAGAGAAAAAAGATACATTTGTGCATTGTATGTGTACCATATTTCTGTTTAATTTGTACACAGTACACACTATTATAATCATTTTATTAGTTAAAATTGTTGATAATTTGATATTTGATTTTTTTTAAGTTTAAACCTTTGTACCGATCCAACTATGGAATTGTAAGTGTTATTTATTATTTAACTATTCAAATTAGTATTACTTAAATTATAAAAATTGTTTAAGGGCTAGGCACACAATTTATGAAAACATTGATAGTCCTTCTATATCAAATAACATTCATAATACTAAATGAATTATTGGTTGTGTAAACACAAGAAGTTTGATTTTCAATTTGTATAAAAATAAAGTAGATAATGACACTCCTTTCAGATAAAGTTTTTAAAAAAGATGCAATTGTATGCGCTGATTTTATGTAATTATTTTTCTATACTCTTATTTCAAATTCTTTGATTTATTTTTATCTGCATATATTAATTATAACTAATAATTAATATTGCATAAAAAACCACAGTCTGTGCAGGTACATTTACAGGAAAAAATATTATAAGTTAAATGTATGTTTTAGGTAGGTATGTTCCCAAAAGCAATCATTTAAAACTTATATTACTTTAATTTAAAATGCCGAAAACTGTTTCAAATAATTTATAGTTAAAAAACCAAAAGAAAGTTGTGTATGAATTTACATAATAATATATTAATTAAAGAAAATTAAAATATTGAATTATTAGCACATTCGTTAATTTTTGTTTTTATGTTAACTTGTCTTCTTAAAGAAGTGTCATTGGGCACTCTCTTCACTCACGCCATTATGGCTTGTTCATAATTTTATATATTAAAATTGCTTATTGTAAAAAAACAGATTACAGATTGTATATTTATCTTTTAATAAATAACTTGTTTTCAGAACCCTGATATACTTTGAAATTCTAAATGTCAAAATAAAAATACTGCAGGTTTACTTATGTAGATGTTAGTAATTGTAAGCCATAAAATAAATTGAAATGAAATATCTGCTCACAGTTTTTGATTTCAAATATCAGATCATTTATCAGTTATATATTTATAGTAAATATTTCAATATTTGATATAGGAAAACAGTCATATCGGCTCACTACTAAAAATTGTATTTATTTATATGGGGTAACCCTAGAAGATTCGATAAACGAAATAACTTTAGTTCTGTACAATATATAAACACTATTATTTTTTATAAGTTATTATTTCTAACTAAAGCCCTGTATTATGATTTCATTTTTTATTTCTTATTTAAACTAAAATTAGAAAATAAAATTATTTATAAAATGGCTAGGTATCTTAAATTTTGTAAAAACAGTTTTCTATTTTTAGTTTAAATAAAAAATTAAAAAATAGAATCATTTCATAAGCATTTTGTAATGATTACAATAAAATTAAAAATTTTAAACAAAAAGGCTTTTGTCAAATATTTGTGAAATACAACTCATGCACCTATTTGTTTAACATTGTATTATTTATCATAGAAATAATTTTTCCAAGGACTCTACACTTGTACTTTGCAAATTTAATAAACATCATAAAATGTTACCCAAAAAATTGGAGTTGCACTTGTTAAGATGTCCTGACAGACCAAAACATTATAGCAATTGTTTTTATAACAATTTGCATATGATGCCAAATTCTGAGTTGGAAGTAAGAGATCAATCAATATTATTTTTTTTTATTGTATAATATTATTTTTAAACTTATATTTTAGAAACACTATGAGACTTGCCCAAATAAAATTCTATTGGATGAGTATTTAGTTAAATCTAAAAATGTAGTACGTCCAAACATTCCTATAACTGCTGAACCCCCCCCTAGAGGGGATGAAGAGGAATCATGGGATCAAGTACGCATTGATAACAAATTTAGTAATAGATATAATTGGCTTAAATTATTCTATAATCAATGAATAAGCCTTTTCTAAAATTTACATTTCACATTATACCCTGTTTCAAAAGAGTAAAAATTTGCGACCAATTTTCATTTGGTCGCGAAAGAGGTATATTCTCTTTTGAAACAGGATATAGGTATAAATTGATATTAAGCATATATTTTAAGTACACTAAATGTCCATATTTCTTTTAATTTTTAGCCAAATGAAAATAAAACTAACGTGTTAGAAACAATAAAACAAATTCCGAATTTTATGAAACCCATAGTTGGTCTTACTAAGTCTCAGCGTAAAAAATACCGCCAACAAGCACATCAGAATTTCAGTAATGTTGATTTATCTTTTAATCCAGATGTAACTATAAATGAAGTAAGTATACACCCTCAAATATTATGCTAACTTTTTGATTATCCAAATACTTTAAACCTCTATTTAGTATATATAAGGGTTTGCGGTTAATCAGAATATGGTCAATTGTTAAATAAATGTATCTACCTAAAGGTACAGCCCCACTGAGAGCGATTTGCGATTTTGCAATAGCGTGTTGCGATTTTAGGTTTTAGCAATTTTAACAATATTATGTAATTCATATATAGTGGCCTCACTGAGCGCGTGTAGCGCTACACACCCGATAAACACTGAAAGAACAATATAGTTTGATATTTAGCGATTAATCACTGTAAAAATGTCTTCCGTGACAGTTGTCAGAAAAAATAGCTGCTGCTGTATATCTACAGGAAGCTATTAGGAATCCGAGGCATCCGGACCATAAAAATGGGACAAAAATCCATTCATGCAACAGTACTCAAAAGACTTGACTGGATATTTTTTTAATTTATTAAACAACATGTGAAATTTTCCTTCAGATAGCCTATGTCAATTTAATTCATGGATCCATGTTCATGAACAATTCTTAAACAAATTTAATTTTACATCAATTAAAGCAGCACTTTCAGCCAACAACATTTTTCTGGACATCATCTTGGAGGTTGTCATCAAATGAAAAATAAAATGATCATACTCAAAGAAAAAACGTAAAATCGCTCAAGTGGGGCCATCAAAATCGCTAGTGGACATCGCTTGTGTAAAATCACAGAAACACTCAAAACACAAAATCGCCCTCAGTGTGGCCGTACCCTAATTATATTATAAATTATATTATTTATGTTATTTTATTTTTTATTTTTTCAAAATATTAAATATTAAAATATTTTATAATTGATACCTACTTAAAGTTGAAAAGTTAAAATAAATGGATATTTTATAATTTAATATATCTACAATATTAGATTTTAGTAAAGAACTTTAGATTTAAGATTATAATTATTTTCAAATATTGATTTTTTTAATTAATAGATTTAAATTTGAATTTTAAGATTAATTAACAAATCAAACCTGGCAATTGACCAAAATAATTTGATTGGTCACTAACCCAACTCTAATGTGGAATGATTTATTATTTTTGTAATTAACTTTTAAACTATTGTTTTAGAGAATAATAAGAGAAGCTTCAGGCAGTGGCTCAAAAGTATGTATTTCTTAAAACTATATTATATTTATGTATGTTAATATAAAATAATTTTATTAAAAATAAAACACCTTATTTCAAAAATTCAGTTATTCATTTTTATTTCAACTTTTTTAGTTTTTACTATTTAGTTAATCTTATAAAAACCTCATAATGAAATTTATGATAATTTAAATTGTTTTCATTACCACTACTAAATAATATCCAGAGATTCACTAATTTTTTTATGAAAAAAAATTGTACAATAATTTTTGTAACTTTGAAAAATTGTTGAAACTTATTAGTCCATCATTTGTCCCCACCCCCAAATTAAAATCCTTTGCCATTTGCTATTGATTTACCAAATAGAACTCTTTTTTTATTTTGTTAAGTGGTCTTTGTACATCATTATTTGTGTATATAATTTGTGTAAAACCATTACCAATAATTTAAAGTGTTATACATAATAATTGTTGAAAAATAATATATATATATATATTGTGTTGTTATAGATGGAGTAAAAAAGGACAGATTTTTTTTTATTATTATTATAAAGTATGTTTTATATTATATTCATAATTCTATAATTACATTGATTACAAATATTTTTTTATTTTTTATTTTATATTATATTATAATTTTTCAATAAAAAGGTCAATTTTTTTTTTTATTATTATAAAGTATGTTTTATATTATATTCATAATTCTATAAGTACAACTTATAATTACATTGATTACAAATATATTTTTTTTTTTTATTTTAAAGTATATTTTTTTTTAATTATAAAGTATATTTTATTCATAATTTTTATTATGCAATCAATACTACAAAAGATAATTTTTTTTTCTTGGCTCATTTTTATTTAATCATTAAAAAGAATACATATTAATGCCAAATTTGATATTCCTTTAATATCTTTCGTGTGTTCCTTTATATACATTGAATATGTTTGAAGATTTTAGTTGAATAAACTGGGAATATTTTTTTGATGCTGTAGATATTTAATGAATATGTTTGTAGGTATATATATGGTATTATATAAGTAATCTGAGGTGGGTGAGACATAATAAGTTGCTGATAATATTCCTTGAATTTCTGATATTTATTAGCGAATCACATTTACAAAAATTCTAAAAAGTACTAATAAGACATCTTAAGATACGAATATTGAATGCTATGTAGGCACAGTGGCACACCTTCAACATAAATTGATATCAGCACAATTTTGTAAATTAATTGAATTATATATTCCTGAATTTTTATGGTTTGGTGTTGATACCAAACTATAAAAATTCAGAATTGAAAAATGAACAAGTTTGTTTAAGATTGTCATCAATTAGTTTCAGTTATTAAGCCCTCTCAAAAATGATACAAATGAAAAATAAAACATTAATCCTGTTTTAGTTAAACACAAAAAAATTGTGTAACTATTAAGAAAATATGATTTTAAAATTCAATGTGTTGAATATTCTTTAAATGTAATGTGATTTAAAATATCAAATACTAATAATAAATAACACTTTATATCTAAGTTATGTTTTTATTTTTAAAATGTTAGCTTGTAATATTGTTTGCTTGTGTGTTTCAAATCTGCATGCAAATAAAAAAAAAGTGTTATGCTTTATTAGCTATTGACACTATTAATTAATTGAATTAACTAAAACATTGTTTATTATCGGCAGTATCTAAATGGATAATAGATTTAATGACTATCATCTATTATTATTACTACTAAAGTAAGTAGTTTGTATATAAACTGAATAAAATTAAACATTTGATAAATACTGATGGCTACAATATTAGGTATGTATATATATATATAATATAGAGAATTTTTATTTTTGCATCGTTTTTTAATAATAAGATAAATATATAAAACATTTTTTTTTTTAAATTTAGAAATTCATTTTCAGAACTTGATTAGAATCATCTTGTATACATGCTAAACAAAATTTAATGTAAATAAAGAATTCAAAAAACTTATCTCATTGTAGTTTAATACCTAATTAATATTGTAGTTTATTTAGTTACAAATGTTTAAATGTATCTAATTTGAATAAATTTTATATTTATGCATGTTTAAGTTTTTACATATTGTTATCTACTGACTACCTACCTATAAGTAAGCAGTCATAGAGTGTGATTTATGGAAGATTTATTCAATTTAGAGTTCATAGGACAAAACTTTTTTGGTTATTCGAGACTATTTCATGGGTTAGGGAATATTTACAATATTTTATATTTGTTGAAAAATTAATTTTTAGTAGTTGTGTAGGGAGCTTATTAAAATTAGAGAAGTACAATTACAGGAGTTGAATAGGCAACATTATATACAAAATTTGGAACTACTGGGATTTCTTATCAAATATTCAAATATTACTAGCTAACCGAAATTTATAGTAAATAATTTATTAATGTAAATAATTCGTACCACCAGTTTTTAGCGGTACCTATTTTGACGTGTTCAGTGTTCAGTCTAGCAATATATACCTACTTTTACATGTTTTACTCTCTTTGGTATCATTGAAAACTAATTTGATTCAACCTTACATTTTGTAAAAGTAATAAAATTTGATAAATAATAATTAATATACACTGATGCATCTAAATCCGCTCAAGGCATCGGCTTTGCAATCTCCTTAAACAACATCACACTTCTTCACAAACTTCCGCTCGAAATTTGTATATTCTCAGCAGAAACCCAAGCTATTTATGAAGCAATTTTATCGGCCAAGACGACCACATCAAAAAAGGTGTCTTATGATTTTTCGATTAAATCATTTTTTCTGGTAGAAAACTTCGTCCGTGTTTTAGTAAAATAATGAAATTGTGAAANGTGGGTGCCATCCCACACAGGCATAACCGGCAACGAAATTGCTGACAAAGCAGCTGATCTTGCAATCAGAATCATCCCACACCCTACAATTTCAGACTTACCGACAAATGACATCAAATCATTCATCAAACATAAAATCTACTCTAGTTGGCAAAATCATTGGGATACTATCCCCCTCTCCAATAAACTTAAACCAATTAAGAAAGATACAAAAAAATGGATTCCACCCGACAGGAAGTCGTCATCACAAGATTCAAAATCGGACACTCTTTTCTAACTCACTCTCATCTGATTAGCAAAGACCCTCCACCCACTTGTAATGAATGCCTCATCGACCTTACAGTTCAACACATCATCCAAGACTGCACAAAGTACCAGGTCATAAGAAATCAACTTAAAATACCACCGAATATGGAAGAAGCACTTGATGAAAACAATGTACGTAAAATCATTATATTCTTAACCAAAACACACCTTATAAGCAAATTGTAACACTGTAATAATCTACACGTAGCCAATAAGTTCTTTTTTTTTTTATTTGTACATGCTAATGACCTTTGATGTTGAAGCCTTANACAATTTGATTACAAATTACAATGTCTTTGTATCAAATTTGTATATGTTTCATAAACATGATACCAAATTGTTATCAATCCTGTAATCTAATATTTGACATAATTGTATGCCAAATAGTTGATTGTATGAAACGGTTAATCATTAATTATTTTCATGTAAATTATTTTCTATTAAAATATTTTTCGTATATTATACTTTCATATTTATTATTTTTCAGACAAAATGCGTTGGTTGATCTCTGGTTTTTGGGAAGGGAGGAAAATAAACGAAAAAACGTTCTAAAAACCAGAGATTAACCAAAACGTATCTATTGAAATATCTTTCGGACCTATCAGATTTTCGACTGAAATATTTTCCGATATTAGCCCCTTGGGCCTCGCTTATATAATGCCACCAGTTTCAAGCACGGATATCTTAGTCCGTGGCTTTAAGATTATTATCTATAATGGTAACCACGGATGTTGGTAACCATTAACCAGCTATTATCATGCATTATTTGATAATTTTTTTTACTACGGTCGGCTGTAATATTTGCAGAAAAATAAATTGCCGATAAAGTATTTTCGGATTAACTACAGTTAAAATATTAAAAATATTGTTCGACAAAAATTATTTTCTTCCAATTTATTCAGTTGGCTGTAAAACAGTTCAGCCGATTTAATTTCTACTTTTTTACGCGCCCCCGTGAAAACTACAATAGTTTTGTTTATTCTATAATTATAAATTATGGACATTTGTATAAAAACTTAACGTACGATCATCTATAAGACACAAGAAGAGAATCCGTTGCTTCAACTTATGCAAACGTATAAACACTTTATGGATTGCAAAATGACAGTCAGTATTTAAAATAATTAATTAACAAAATATTATATATTTATCTGTAAATTTATGTATACTCTATTGTCTTACAAAATTGATCATTGCAATGTGTCGAAAAGTATAAACTTTTTTATTTATAATTTAAGAAACGAGTACCTGCAAAATATTAAATTAGGAAACATTATGTTTGATGGTGAACATATTACCCATTTTTGATTTTAAAATTGTAAAACCCTCAAAAATAATGATAAAAAATATTAGTAATGTAATATTTTAAAGCTACTTATCTCTTGAACTGTAAAAATATAAATTACTAGTTTCAAAATATTGTAATAATCAGATATTTGTTGGACATCATATATATAAATATACATTTTTGACTTTTGGTTGATTGTTTTGTTTACGGCTTAAATATACTTTACCCATTTGTTTTAAACAGCCATTTGAGGGTTATTTTGGTTTAGAACAGTCCAAATGAGCATAGTGACTAAGTGACGATGCTAGATTTTTAGATGCACACAAAATTCATTGGTTTTTCTCCTGTTACCTAAATTGAGGGGTTTTTTTTTTGTTGCTTAAAATGAATTTGTTAACATTATTACGAGATAGCAAATCACCCTTTTTTTTACGACACTAAATAGTTCTTAAAATAACATTTTTTTTTTAAATTTATATTGCCCATTTGTATTTACTATTTTATTTATATGTGTAAGTAGTAGGTATAATAAACAATAGTTTAACCCTAACAAAAAAAAAAATTGAAAATTTGAAGTTTTTAAATTTTTTTCCTTAACTTCTTCAATAATGAATCAGCAAAAAAATTTTAATATCAGTGTTGAAAAAAAATAATTGAAATTTTTGAGAAACATGGTAAATTACAATTGTTTTTTTGTATTCATAGAAAAAAATGAAAAACTTGGTCTTTAGTTGAAAATTAATTTAACAGAAATTCTGAAGGAATGGTATTTCGAACAGGAATAAAATTAAGATTCAAAAATATAAATATTCAAAACTCTCTTAGTCCCCATATACATTACAATGAAAGTGCAAAAAAAAATAATTGAAAATGAGAAAACGAAAATCAGAGGTACCTAAGGTTGGCTCGACTACAAAATGGACTTTGATAAAAGTGATAAAATGATATATGAAATATTCTTTCATAGACCCATACCATGAGACTGATTACTTTAACTGGTGGTAAAGTGATATCAATGGAGCAAGCAATGTCAGATGAAGAGTTTGATGATCTGGATCCTTCAAATATATGTTCTTCTCAGGTTTCAAGGTATATGTAATTATTAGTCTGTAGTAATGCAAATTGCATTTATTATATTAAAACTTTATAAATAAATGTATGAGTTATTTTTTTTTTTTTATAGACACTGTATTGATGAAAGAAGTAAGTGTTAAGAGTTTGTTTTAAAATGGGTAAAGGCAAGTTTAACATTTAATTACAAAACATGTTTATTAAAATGAAGAGTTAATATTGTTAAGGTTTTATATTAATATAAATTGCTTTCTTTCTTTACTGTAGATCATGCATTAATATAAGAAGATATTGGCCATAAATGGAGTAGAAATACACAACCTCTGATCCATATTAACTCTTAGGTGTGGTTAACTAAAAATGATGAAGGTAAGTGTAAATTAAAATCAAAAGACATACTTATAATACATTGACTAGTACAGTGGTATCTTCAACCTTTTTGGACTCACGACCCATTTTTTAGAATACATTATTCGCGACCCACATAAAGCATACATAAAGCAAAATGTTTGTAGAAAGACAAATATAAAAAAAAAAAATCTAAAATCACTTAATACTGTTTGTAGTAGTAATTTGTAGTAGTACTGTTATAACTGAATAAATAAAAATAAAAAAAACTTTAACGGATACGACTATATATATATGACTTGAATAATAACGGGACTAACATTAATTCGTCTTTAAACACAGCGTAGATTATAGGACTCTTTAACAACAATAATATAATATATTTATTTTATTGCTAGCCTGGTTTACTCATAAATTATTATATTTAATGTCATACTATGTAGAATCATACCAGTTTATGATACATATACTGTGATTTGAAATCCATTATACTATTATATTTTTGAATATAAATTATATAATATTGTTTATACATAATATATTACAATTTATTAATTTTCTAAGTTTAGTTGTTTAATTAAACAACTATTTGTATACCTTATATAATTGTATAAACTTAATTTTTATTTTAAAAAGAAAACTTATTGCAACCCAATTTTTAAGCTTACACGACCCAAAAATGGGTCGCGGCCCACCGGTTGAATACCACTGGACTAGTAGATCCTAAACAACTTTTATCTAATGTTTCTATAGAGCCAATAATACTTTCATCTAAGAAACAACATTTCATCTACTAAATGTCATTATGGGCATCTGGAAAATTTGCCCTTGCCAAGCTACAGAAAGTACAATCCACACAACATCATATGTTGAAATTAGAAGTAATGAAAGAGTGATAATGTGTACAATTTGGATGTTATTGATCATTTGACCATTATTAATGTTAAGTCATAAATATTAATTAATGGCATGTATCTTTTGGTTATTCGTTATTTAATTTTGCTTAAACACGTATTAATTAATTTAATGATGGAAAAGTTTATTTTTGAATTTGTTTAGATTAAATATGGGCTACTGATATAGATTTGATTATTTTGAAATCACCAATGATAGACATACTTACCACTCCAGTCAATAAAAGAGATTTATAAAAAGTACAACTCAAAGGTTTGTATCTTATTCTATCACATATTATTCAATTAATTATTTTGCTATCTGTCACTTATACTATAGCCTACTGATAAAATTAATTTTTGTATGTATTTTTATAGAATAATTTGTGTTATAAGAAAATGAAAAAAAGTCAAAACTAAAGATATAATAAATAAGTTATAGGTAATATTAAAAATTAAAATTAGAAATTTACTTTTAGGTATTATTAGCCATTACTTAAGAATTTTTTTTATTTGGTAATTTAATTATTAATTAAGGTACACTGATTAATTAAAATTTAAAAACGAAACATTGTCAAAAATGTTTAATATTGTCTACTTTAATTCAACAACTTATTATGACATTTATAGTTGCTAAGAACTTTGAAGAATATAATTTTTTTTTTACTTTCAGCACATCGGCCACTATTATGGGGCCTTCCCACAAGGCATTAATCACGACAGTCAATCATGCTTTACTGAAATATACTTCTGTGTGAACGCACAGTCATTAAACTTACTTTCGTGAGGAGTGGCGCATGACCCAAGCGTGGATAAATTAAATGTGTTTGATTTTCAGTCGTGATATACCGTGAAGCTTAGATGTCGTCACAGCAATGTGGAATTATTAAGTTTAACAACAGTGAAACTACGCGTTTTTTTGGAGTTGTATTCAAAGGAAAAGGTGTTGTATGATCCAACTTTAGAGGAATACCGTGATAGAGATTTATGTGTAGCCGCAGCTAAGAGAATAAGTCATGAACTAAATATTCCTGGACTTGGACCAAAAGAAGTTGTATTAAAATTCAAAAATTTAAGAAGCTCTTAACATGTTTCTTCGCTGTATCCATTGTCTAACCCAAAAGTGTCTTTTCATTTTCTTGTAATTATGACCTGTAAGCGCTCCATCTTTTTTGCTAAAATAGTAGCAAAAACCGAACTTAAAACAGCACAACTTTCAACAACCAGGTCATTCATGATCAATGTTTCGATAGTGACTAAGTCATAACAGTGAAAGACCCAAAGTCAAAACCATGTGAACTCAATGTCATCAATTCACACTTTCGTGAGTGTCACAAATGAAAGTTGACTAGCATGGTTGACTGTCATGATTAACGTCCCATTTGGTTGAGTAAAGCTATAGAAAGGCTTAAAAAATAATCAGGTTTTTTCTTCTCTTAAAGATATTATATAAAAATACTTAATATACAAGTTTTTTTGTATTGATTTTTTTTTTTATATATATTATAAATTAAAATGACAGCAAGCATATTTTGATTGAGTATAAGGTTATAGAAAGACTTAAAATTAAAAAGAATTAAGTTTTCTTCATCTCAGATTATATAAAATACCTATACAAGTTGTTTTAGTGATTTTTTTTTTTTTTTTTGTTATAAATTATATAATAAATGTACAAGTTATTGATTAAAATGTCTTAGAGATTGGTTTAGGCAATAGGTACTCATTGTTAGTTTATTCTTAACATGTAATAAGTGCATTATTATATAGGCAATATTTGCGTAATGTTTTCGAATGATTTTATTGGATATGATTCGCATCAAAAATGATTAAATTTAAGTACCTTTTACAAAATAGAAAAATGCAATGGAGTTTTGAAAATGTATTCACTTTAATGTAATAAATATAAATGATAGGAATACCTACAACCTTTTTAAACCTTCATTAGTGTCACGAAGGAAAGTTGACTAGCGTGGTTACAACTATTTGTTTATAATGATAGTAAAATATTAATAGCATGAGTATGATTATAGAAGCTAAGTAATGTTGGTAATATGAATAATAGTAATGAAATAACAGCAATAGTATTTAGTATAGAAGATATTATTTAAAAACATACATTTATGTTTAAAGACTAATTTTATTAAGATATCATAGCCTGTAAAAAAAAAACATTTCACATTTCATGTGAAACATTCATACAAAATGTGATAAATCGTTTAGTTATAACTTGAATAAATGAATAAATTGATTATTATTTTTTAACTATGTGCCTAGAATACAGTGTAATATACATATATTTGATTAAATGTTATAATATAATTTGTTAAACCTTATAAAATATAAATGCTAAGTTGAATTAAGTTTTTATTACTTTTATAAATCAATACTATGTATATTTTATACATTGATTTGTCTTGTTTATTGTTTATAACTGGTTCAGATGTTTATGAAATTGCATATATTTTTTCTGTTTACCCAATTCAATACAGGATACAAATTTGATTCATAGTCTACTGAATCAAACAATACTATTTTTATTTTGCATATTTTTGGATTTTAAAAATACGCAAAATAAAATTTGAACAAATTAAAATAATTATTGTATCATACTGTAACAAGTTTATTGTAAATTAATATGTAATATTAAAAAAAATGATAAAACATAACTACTAAAAAAAAATAATATTAAAAATTAAATACTTAAGGTAAAATAAATTTTGTCCTCCATATTTTGGTGTTCTTTTTTACTACAAATGCATATTTTATGATTTTTTTTTTTTTGTGCATATTTAGTAATTTTTAGCTTTATACAAATTACACCCACAAGAATAATTGATATAAACATATTTTCCTTCTCACTTTTACAAATTGGCTGCATTAATATACATTTATTTTATATAAATGGTGTGGTTAAAAATTGTATTATTATTATTATTAAAAAGGTATTTATTTTTTTTTTTTTTTTTTAAATGGGCAAATTTTTATATGCCAATTGTTTAACGTATTCAACACTTGTTTTATTTTTGTTTTCAATTTGAGTCATAACATTTGTAATAAAGTCTTCTTTTTCCACATCCTCTCTTCATTTATATGTTACATTTGTGTTCCGAATTTTAATGCAAGTGTCAGTTTAAACATTTTTCAATACTTATAAAAACTATAAAATGTTAGGATAGGCTGAATAAAACAAACCATTTAATTTTGAGTGAAATGATTCTCATACGTTAGTGATACACATTAATGAGTTTGAAAACTCTGCCCATATTGATGGTTGAAATTTACTTTCCAGCGAAATATAATTTTTTTCAAAATAATTTAAAAAATTATCTATTCTTTGATCGTTAGGTTTTATAGCCATTAAATCATCATAAAAACAGTTACTAATCTCATCAGTTTTAAAAATGAAAGACCAAAAAATAAATGAAAAGTTTTCCAATTCAGATTTATTTTTGAAAGCTGTAGACAGACCAACATTTTGAATTTTTCTCCAGATTGATTGTTAGATGAAATCTACAGCCTTTGCATGTAACTTCAGGAAAAATATTTGAAACAGCTGAGTGTATAGCTTGTTCGAAGTCTGCATAAATTATATTTGGTGCAAAATTTAAATTAAATTCATTAATTTTTTCTAATAAACTATAAAAAGCATCTTTATATATTGATATAGTCTTGCCTGTTAATGAATTATAAATATTTGATAGAACAGTTTCGGACAACATTTAAATATGCCATTGATATATACAACTTTACACTCACTTAAAAATGTTTAATTTGTGACTGGGACTTGATGTGAAAAAATCATGAACACAACTCTGACAAAATATCATTTATGGACTTAATTTGAATGTGCCATAATTTTTAAGTGCATAAATATCCAAATCCTAATTATAACTATTTTAACTAAAATGCCTTATAAATTATAATACAGAGTATCCCATGAAGATATACCTATTGTAATATTTCTAGAGATAACAATGATAATCAAATTCTGTATTCTTTATATTACAGACAATTTTGAATTATCAACTTTTTATTTTCATTAAATTCGTGATTTTTAAAAAATTTTTAAATCTCAGAGAAAAGTACTTATAATCATGCAACAGGCTGTAATTACATTTCACTAATTGATTATTATTATTATGGCTAATTGACTGTACACTTTTATTCTTGAACTTTAAAAATCTATTAAAAATTACAAATTTAATGAAAATAAAATGTTTAAACATCAAAATTTTCAAAAAAAATAAATGCTACAGGTACAATAGCTACTTTAAATTATAATCATAAAATAAAAAGTTATTTTTTTAGTTTTTACCAAAACATACAAACTGGATTAGAATATAAATATTGTTAGTTCTTACCCCTGCAAGTAATATAAAAACAAAAACACCAGAATTTGATTATCTTTATTATCTCAATAGATACTAAAATGGGTACATCTTTATAGGATACCTTGTATATTAAATTCTTTTTCTAGGTGATCCTCTTTTTCATCACTAACTGTATTATTTCAATTGCATTTAGGAGATAAGTTGTAAAGCAATGCATATAAAAGAACAATATCAATGTATGCATTAGTGAGATCTCTTTTTAATCAAGGAAATTATCTTTTTTAAAGTCCAAATGGTCTTTAAATATTCTTATATTCTAATTTGAGATTTATTATATTCTTGCTCAGATTGTATAGCAGGATTAAAGGTGTAAACTAATAAGGTTTACATGTTAGAATAAAATAAAATATGTATTGTAGAATAGCAACTCAAGTATAGAAGATTTAAGTCTAAACAAAATTAGGTAACTAAAAATAATGTTATTTTACTTAAATGTATTATGATGTTTTATTGATTCAAGATTCAAAAATTATATTTGTTACAACAATTGTTGTCTTAATGATGGAAACTTTAACTATTTTAAACTGTTATACTAAAAAAATAATTAAAAACGTTTTATTTTTATACAATTTACTTTATGTGCTACCAATATAATCTATATATAAATTTAAATATAAAATTGCATTAAATATATACATATTATTACCATTTCTAAGTAATAAAACATATTTTGCACTATATCTGTAAAATAATATTGATATATTATTGTATTTTTAGTAGATTTAGAAACAATTAAATACACAAGAAAGATAAGTCAAAATTTTATTATTGATTCTTGTAATTGGCACTTGAATGACAATTATCAGTGATGCTCAATGCTTCTAATACTCACTGCTAAAACAGCTAAAATGTTGAGTACAAAACACGTTTCTTTTTGTGATAGATTTATTGATTTAAAAACTTGTACTTAGAGAAGTAAAGAGTTTTTACAATTTGTGTCAGCTCATATAGTACAAAAGAAAAATGTTTGACAAACTTAATATTAGTAAGTTTTAAACAATTTAATCTAGAATTTTTCTGTGGACAAGGATACAATGGTGTTAGAAAAATACAGCAATGTCTCTTCTTTCTTAAGAAATATATATTCTGTAGTGCTTGATATGAAGGGGCTGAGTACCTCAACTAATTTTTTGGATATTCCAGTTTACCTTTACAGGACGGATTGTTATTTAAGCTTACCTAATTTACATAATTGTTCAACTTAAATATTTGTTTTGAGAGGATTTTATACCTAAATGTATCATCTCAGTCTAACTAACAGACAATATAGAAAAATGTACCTTACTCCGACTGCATAGAACTCACTTAATTTTGGTTTTAGAGTAAAATCACCAATTATAAAATTAAAAGGGAACATTATTCTAGAAGGAAAGATTGTGTGTTTCTTTGTTTAACTTTATTTTTTTTAAATGTTACAATCATATAAAAACGACGAAATATTCTTTTTCTATTCGGAATAATTATTAGAATACTAGGATAAATGCAACGTTTTGCTCTCCAGAGTAGATACTGTTTTCTTAATATTTTCCTTTTATATTGTCTAAAAACGGAGATTGTGTTAATAAATGCGTGTCGGTAGTCGCCCAACTGCCTCTGGAGTATACTACCGTCTAGTCCGTCGATGGTTGGAAGATGAAATATGTCCAACTTTTGACATCTCTGAAAAGTAGTCTGGGTGGTTTCCGGAGCCCCGACGTCGACCCATGGTCGGCGCCGATTAGAAGCCCAGGTATCGGCCTCGATCTCGTGCCGTGGTCGGTGCCTCAAGGTTGAATTCAGACGGACTTATAAGTTTCGCTGGGTAGTGGTTTAATAGCTAGGGGCTACCCACCCGAAGGCGACTGAACCCGTGAGCAGGCATAATCCTCCGAGGCTCTTGAATAATTAATACTATCAGTATCACATTGTAACCGTTCTTGATAAAAATGAGGTTCTCACTGTTTCCTTAATATTATAATAGTTGATTTCACTATAAAACTATAATCAAGTGAGTTTTATGCAGCTTGCATGCGTAAGGTAGATTTTACAATATTGCCTGTTAGATGGACTGTGTGTCTATTTAACACAAAAATCTGAGTTGAGCAATTTTATAAAAAGAGATGATGTGAATAATATTAAAATGTTAGGGACGCTACTTTTTTAAAGTAACCAGAGTACCTTTATAACTTTATTCCCAAGTCAAGCATTGTGACCTGTTATAAATGTTTATTGTTCTGCATGTATTTTAAATCTTGTCTCCAAATCATGTGGTATGTGATAAATTATAAATTGTGAAAAAAAATAAATTGTAAACCAATGAAGATTGAATGTCACGCGCTACATGATTATTTCAAAGCTTTTAGAACTTTTTACATAGTCTTTCAGTAAAATATCAGAAAAAAGTACTAATGACAGGTATAACGCTTACAAAAATCAATGCTAGACAGAGAATTTATTGCATTCTTAATATTAATTAAAAGATTTTAATTTAAGTTACCCCTATCGAAAAGGTAAACGTTGATTTGAGATTAGCTGGTATCTAGTCGATTGATTAAAAACAGAAGCAAATCGCAAGACAATTGCTCAAAAATGTTTTGATTGGTAAAACAATATATTACACGCAAATGATAATTAATTGCAAAACTAATATGGCCAAAAACGTATAACTCTATCGTAACCCCATACTTTTTTTCACATGACGTCTTTTTCCGCTTTTCCCAATTTTCATGAAAACTCCTTGAAAAATAAAAAAAATAACCTCAATGAACCATAGGATCTAAAATGCAAATAAAGATCTCTTGCTATTTTTGGTAGAAATATTGTTGGCACACACATGCACAAAATAGCTGATACTGAGAACGATTGCAGCCACTGTTGTAGGGGGATACTGAGTAGTTGGGAAGGTGGCATAAATAATGTTATTTAATTTATACTTGTAACCAAAGATAAACTATTGCTAAAAAAAACGATTCCGGACCAAGTTCTGGTAAACATATTTTGAAAAGCCATAATATTTACGATTTTCGACAAAATTTGATTTATAAAAAAAAAAACTTAAGTCATTATAGTGATAACTATAATCAAACTTCAAATTATTTCTATTTAGTCTAACAGTATTATCTACAGAGTACCTGCCAAATAAAAATTAAGTAAAAACTCGCAAAACAAATGCATTTGACATGTCTATAAATAGCTCAAAAATTGCTCAATTGTTCTGAAAGTTTTACCACGTCGAGAAAAAGCAATTATAATTTTCTTCCAACATTTTGGGCCTCTTCGAATATTTTAAACTAAATTGTATTTCAAAAAGAAAATTTTAAATAATTTCAGAATTATTTTCGTTAATTTTCCTATAATTTCTACGTATTTTTCGATGAAAGTACGATCTGATGAAGTTGTCAATTAAAAAAATGTTGATAATACATTAAATATACTAGAAAAGGTAAGAGTAAAGTCTAATTCTAAATATCTATACATAAATCATAGTGCTTTATTTAAAATATTTATTTTATGTCCATACTGTAACATAATAATTGCTAAATGTGCTTGCAAAATAAATATATTTTTGTACATTAAATTATGTTTAGGAGAATGCAATAGAAATTTGTGTTAATGTTGATGTTGATGATGGCAAGAATACTGTTATGGTTGAATATGTTGACAAAAATAATTTGTTAGATAATGATTTTACATATTTTAATTATTTTCAAAAACCTATGTCATCTAGTATCAATGATTTTTTTAATTTTCATCCAAAACAATCTGATGTTGAACAACTCTTTAAATCATCTAGAGCTTATTTTAGGAGCAGTGGTTTTAAACGCTAGTAGTTAAGTTTTGATAATCAATCAAAAAGCATGATTTATAGTGTATGCTTAGCTTTTTCTTCTGAACCTAATCTATTCACTAAATGCTTATCTGTTTGGAAATATGTATATCAACGTATAGAAGAACATGAAGCTAGCAAAACACATATGGCTGGTTCTGAATGATATCCTTTACATACAATTAAAAAAACCATTGGCATATTATTATTTTCTGATTTTAAAAAGAGAAAAAAAAAAAGTTAAGAAAAACATACAAATACTTCAGTGTGTCATAGATATAATAAAACTAATTGGTAAGAGAAGATTAAGTTATGGAGCTCATAGAAATGAATCAGCTTTGTCTTTAAATAATCACATTTTAGATCTTGGCAATTTTTTTAGATATATTGCTTCTTTTGAAAAAATATGACATTGTCCTTAATGAACCTGGTGAATCATTAACTAACAAGGCTCAGTGTAAAAAAAATAGTGTGAACTCTAAACGAAAAGTTTCAAAGGTTAATTTTATTTCAAAAACCATAGTCAATATGGTGATCAATTCCATAAGTATCCTAATTAAGAAAAAAATATCTTCACAGATTTTAGAGGCAATCGTGTTTTCAATACAGATGGATACTACTCAAGATATATCAGTATAGGACCAATGTTCACTTATTGTACGGTATGTGAACTTCAGTGGTGTACATGAAAAACTTTTACCAGTTATAACTATGGCAGAAACTGTGATATGAAATGTTGGAAAATAAATTTTTAATTAGTGGACTAATGCTTATAAGTATCTGCTTACACAACCATGTACACAATTAGTGACATAAATATCAAATTTTATAATTCTTATTTTAGTACTTAATTATACAGTACATTTTAATTACTTATTTTGATTTACCAGGTAACAATGGAAAGATCATTTGCCAATCTAAAGATAATCAAAACACGTCTAAGAAATTCATTGAGTGAAGAAAAGCTAAAAGCATTTATGCTTATGAATATGGAAAAAAGTATATTACATAGTATAGACTTAGAAGAAATCATTGATGTTATAAAAAAAAGTAGTGATTTCTTAAATAAAGAACTGTCATATTAGGTTTTGGTCTTCCAAGTATGTTCTGCTTTATTCAATTTTGTAATTTGTATAGCATGCTGCCACTGTCTATTACAAATGTTTATAATGACTTATGTCAAATAACATATATACACTTGAATATGATATAATACATTGATATATTAATAATACCTATATGGTTTATAGTATGTATGTAATACATTTGGAATATTAAATCATATATTTAACTCAAATAAAATTATTATTTTTAATTTCACTACATTCCCACTAAATTGTTTGCATTTATGCATTTATTAACATTAAACTAAGTACAACTTATATGAACTGCCTGTTAAATGTGCATGCATTTCTGTTTGGTCTAACTATGATATTCACATAAATAATAGTATGACCTACCAAATGAAAACTAATAACTACATACAAAACACGTTAACATAAAATGGTTTTACAATTTTGCTACGTCCAGAGAAGGCAATTTTAAGTTTTCTTTCAAGTCACCAGGAATATTTTCAACTAAATTACAAAAAAAAATCAAAATTGTCCTGTTCTTTCTTCGTTTTTTTCGGTTTTGTACAGTTATTGAAAAAACTATAAAGAAAATCAAAATATGACTTTCTTGCCTCATCAACTAGATTCAAAATGCAACTAAGAGGTTTATATTTCTGGTAGAAAACATAAAGCGCACAAATTTAAAATAATGAAAATTGATAAACTTAAACGATTCCATACAGTGTTGATTAAAAACATCACTACCGAATATTCACAGTAACCGTTTTATCAGTTTTTACTTGTTTATTTATTTATTTTATATTCTCATCAGAACGATAATACAAAACCGTGTTTCATTTTTATGGCTCATGAATTTTTCAATTTTGTTAACTTTTTTGATAAAAATTTTGGTTTATAAAAGCTCAATTTAAAGTAGGTACTTGCATTTATGTATTATGAGACTAATAATATGTATATTGTATACGTACCTGAATTATATAGTGTAAAACGTTATTACCTACACATTTTTTAAGCCTCTACTATCCTGAAAAAGGTTAATTGCCACCTTTATTCCCTCCCCCCACCAAAAAAAAAATCACCTAATTACGTGCCTGAGTCGCAAGCTAAGGTTAGGAACCGCTGCTCTATAGTAAACCTTATTCAAATGTGCAGCTAATTAGTCTAAGTGTCAGATGTTGGAAATACGTTTGAAATTGATGAATTTGCAAACATTTAACGAGTTTTATAAAAAATACAAAAGCCGGTACATGATGAAAGGGTCAAACAAGGAACCTCTCATCATCTCATCATATATATATATATATATGTAATAAACATCACGGATCAGATGTCCTACGGTCAATATCGTAGGGACGAAGTATTGTTTAAACAAAAGAAAAACTATTTAAAGTTTATTAAATTGATATACAACTTTTCAATTGTTCTTTGGTGCTCCAACAAACAACTTTCAGAGAAAACTCTTACTGATAATATTATGTGCGTGGACATAATAAAAAATATGAATAATTTATATTTAATAAATTGCGAAAGGCTCACTTTAGATTTAAATTTATCCGAACATAAATACTAAATGGATTAGGTTAAGTTGAAATTGAAATAATTTAGGAATAGGAAGATTCCATGATGAATAAAGATATTCTTATTATTCATGGTAGGTACCAATAAAACATATCATTGTCAAATGACACGTTAAAACAGCACACCATATTTTAATTACATTTTATTCAAGTGAAAAGTAATACAGAAGAATGTAAAACAATCAATTTTAGATTCTGAGTGAAGGGTTGAGGAATGTTTTGGTTTCACTACGATGAGTGTTTTTTTTGTCTGTTAAAAACTTCTCTACCAGAAATCCTAAATTGGATCATACTTTAAAGATAGTTTCTGGTAGGAAATGTTGTCATTAGTGGATTGAGGATAGTTATTAATTGGAGACCGAATTAATATACGATCTATCAACGAATTCATATAATCTAATGTGTGATTTGTCGGAAAATGTAATCTACTGACTAACTAGTTTGTATGTGCTAAGAATATACTTAAAACAACACATTTAATTGAAGGGCTCAGTGCTATAATAGGACAATCTTTTTTTCAAAAATTTTTAGGATAAAGAAAAAAAAAATCATTTTTCTATGGAACTTGTTTTCTTTTTGTCCAGAATTTGGCTAAACCAGACAAATCTTTATTAATTACTATTATTTTCGTACCTAGTTAATGGACTTTCATTATTATTACACCAAATAATGTAAAATTTATTGCTTTACTCGAAAAGTCGAAAATATGAACAATTATTGAACATTGAGCTTAATAAGTTTCATTGCATTGCAGTAGAATTGATTAATTTTAAATCAATTATTTAAAACACGCACACATTCATAGTGTTATTCAGTGCGTTCAATCTATAGGTAACATATTTTCTTGACGATAACGTCATTTGACCTTTAGCAAATCATTCGTGTGATATAGATTTTCTAGAAGTAGAATTAAAAAAGGACGGACATAATTCGTACGTGGGTGCAGCCACCATAGTATCTATAGCCATGAACACATTGATATGATAACAATGTTATTAGTATCAATCATTTTGGTAACTGACCACAGCTAATATTTATCTAATAACCATGGTAACCGGTTGCTGGGTCCATTATCACATTTTTTTTTATCAATTGTTAAAATTGATTGAACTATAAAAGTACAAAAATATATTATCTAATTTCATGTTTAGAACTGACAAATCGAAATTCAAAATCATTACAATGCCATTTTAAAATCAAATCAAAAATCCTTGTGAATATGATTTTTAAAATCAAAATTCTTTTCAAACTAGTTTATACAATATAAAAGATTTGGAATCATGCCCAGCTCTGGTTATAGCGATGGAACAAAGTTTCAACATTTAAGTAAAAGCTATTTGATACTCACATAAAAAACATGCAAAAAAAAATTCAAAAAATCAACAAATCAGTTAGTTTTAATTTGAATTTTTCTTCATATATATTTATAGATGTTTTAATTATTTTAGATTCTGAGTTAGCGAAGAATGTATTGGTTTTACAAAGATGTTTCTTTTTTTTTTTTATGTGAACACTTTTTCTACTAGAAGGCAGAAAGGTTATTCCGATTATTAGGGCTGTCTAGAAAATTTTCGGGGCTTGGGGTGGAATACAATTTTTTTTAAATTCACGGGAGGGGCAGATGCCGGTCTCGCCCATCCCCTCCGGGTGCCCATGCCTATAATATTATATTAGCTACAGTGAGCTATCGTCATCGTAATGTTTCAGTTAAAGTCTGAGACATTAATACCTACCCAAAAATAGAAAAAAAAGTTGGAAAGATTAAAAAATAAGGTTGTCATTGGCAACCGTTTTTATTTATTTTTTGTTATTATTAAGTTTTTATTATTTTAATTTTTTTTAAACAATCATTGTTTCCATGGAAACGCAAATTGTTGTAATCATTTTAACGTAATATAACATGTATATATATGTATGCATTGTTGACAAAGCAACATCATCAACTGAACTCTGCTCAGTATCATTTTTTCGTTAGCAATAGTTTATCGTTGCTTACAGATATACATTCAATTTCCGTCAGTATACTACCTTCCTAACTTCCCACTTATAACAGTAGCTGCACCCATGTGCGAAGTATGTCCGTCCTTTTTCAATTTTGCTTCTAAAGAATCTATATCACACGATGTTGATGATGATGATTTTACTAATGGCCCAATTAAGATATCGTAAGTCAAGAAAATATGTAACCTTTGGATTGAAGGCACTTACCCAACATGAAATATTAGAAATAAATAATTAATAAAAAAGGTGTCTTAGGATAACGAGGACGGGTGCAGCCACTGTTGTTGGCGAGAAGTTTGGAAGGTAGGATATAGAGGGAAATATAATTTGTATCTGTAAGCAATGATAAACCATTGCTAACAAAAAAACGATTGTGAACTGAGTTCTGTTGAAAGTAATGCTTTTTCAACAACATGAAAAATATATATTATGATAAAATAGTTAAATAGGCATTGTATATTTTCTTTAATAATATTTGTTTAATATTGTACTGATTTTTCCATGTTTTTCACATATGCTGGAAAAGTTTTGGGAAAATCGAAAAATTACTTCTTTAAATTACATCCCCGAGAAAATTTCCTTTCAGAAAAGGGCTTACATTGTATACATCGGAGTAAGCTTTTTGGTAAAAAAAGTGTGAACATAAAAAAAAATAAATACAAAACACCGACGGTTCAACACTGATCGGAGTTTCGATGATTGTAACATTAGAGATCTGGCTCTTACAGTCATAATTCAGAATTGTCTAAAATCAGAATTTTACAATAATATTGTTATAATCCCGCCTAAACCGTTTCCTTGAACCGCATTAATATTATAAAACCGTAAAAAATCTATAGCTGTGTGTAACGTGTGTATAATTTTTAAAAACCAGACCCCGAATTTACAGGTATTTTCCATTTGCGTAACGATACTTAAAAAATTCGAATTCAAACTTTTAGATTTAATCAAACATTTTAGGCGGGCCAGAGGTTTCCGCCACTGGTATCGGCATAATTAAATACCTGACCAACGGCCAACGGACTTGCGTGCCAAACATGACCGCACGGACTTTTAATTGAAGTTCAAAAAAAAAAATCACGTTTAACTTTGCTCAGAATCGTTTTTCATTTGCAATGATTTATCGTTGTACGGGGATATAAAATTAGACAACCCTATAGATATTCTACCTTCCCAACGTTCTAACTACAACAGTGGTACACCTATGCTGTAAACTTGTTTTACATTTTTTTTTTCCCGTCCTACATGGGGAAACTCATCGAGGCGTTCAAAGTACGAGTGATTTCTGAGAACTTTGGCGACGCGGACATGATTGATCTGACAGAGGTATAATAGGTCGTTGAATCGTATACAAAAAAAAAAAAAATCAATCTGTTATCCAAAACACGGCGATTGATATTTTTGTCAACGAACGCTACCGCCGCAGCGGGTGAT